ATTAATTTTTTATATAAAAATGCCATCCCAAAAGACGGATGCGGCATTTATTAATAAAAAATTTGATTTTATTAATTGTTTTTATTAAAATGCCTCCCTGAAAGTCAGATGCGGCATTTATTAATAAACAATTTAATTTTTATTAATTTTTTATATAAAAATGTCACCCTAAAAGACGGATGCGGCATTTATTAATAAAAATTTAATTTTTATTAATTTTTGTATTAAAATGCTGCCCCGAAAGTCGGACGCAGCATTTATTATTAAAAAAATTAATTTTTATTAATTTTTTATATAAAAATGCCATCCCAAAAGACGGATGCGGCATTTATTAATAAAAAATTTGATTTTATTAATTTTTTATTAAAATGCCTCCCTGAAAGTTAGATGTGGCATTTATTAATAAACAATTTAATTTTTATTAATTTTTTATATAAAAATGCCACCCCGAAAGACGGATGCGGCATTTATTAATAAAAATTTAATTTTTATTAATTTTTGTATTAAAATACTACCCCGAAAGTCAGACGCAGCATTTATTATTAAAAAAATTAAATTTTAATAATAAAACGCCGTTCCAAATGTCAGAGGCAGATTTTTGTTAAAAAAACAACAAAATTGTTGTTTTTTAACATTAAAACACCGTTCCGAACGTCATAGGCAGATTTTTGTTAAAAAATTTTTTTGATCTGTCAGATACGGATACGAATTCAGATTTGTCAGATTCAGATACGAATTCAGATTCAGATTTGTCAGATTCGGATCGAATCGGATTCAGATTTATCAGATTCAGATCGAATCAGATTCAGATTTTTCAGATTTGGATCAAATCAGATTTTGCCTAAATCTGATCTGATCTGATCTGTGCAGAACACTACTCTTCAGTACCAATATGGGTCTCCTTATTCATTCCTGAAAATGTATTAAGATTCACAGAAAAATTCACTCTTAATGAATTACCCCCTCATGATCCATTAAATGTAAAAAAAAATAATTAGTTATCTATCTAACTATTTATTCAATCATTTAATTATTCAGTCATTCAAATAAAAAAAAAGAATATCTTACTTTTCCACCTATATTTATTATCAGGTGATAGTAAACGCAGGTGATTTAATTGAGTTAGATCAAAATCACTTACCCGTCAGCTCTATCTCAGTATTTATTACAAGCTTTGCTATTGAATCAGTTCAAAATGAAGATACTATATTTAAAAGCATTAAAATACTTGTCAATGAATTTACTAAAGATACAAGTTCAGGAAAAAAATTTCAAATTAAGTATAGGTACTTGAAATCTGACGAAAGAATCAACAAAAAACTTACCAAAGCAAGAAGGAGCTCAAATCTATTAATCACAGGCGAATTGGTTCAAGTCGATTCTGAATTTCAAGTTGATATTCAAAATATCAACTTCTTGCTAATATCCATTGCAAACCTTGAATTATCAACTAAGACCTCACCATCTTCTAAATATTCATGGTTAACAATAACACAAATCTCAGGAAGAGTGTCAGTTCAGGCTATGGCTAATATATCTCTTAATCAAACAAGCCAAAAATCATCAAAAACTCTATCAAAGGACCAAACTGACAAAGAATCGATCACCACTAATGATCAGTAACAATGAAACTATCAGATTATTCTGAAGGGTTTATTTCTTTTCATATTAATTAGTAATAATAATAATAGCTTTATCTTATGAATTATTCATATTTATTTTTAACCAAACAATTGAGAAAAACAGATAGTAACCCATCTTCTTAATAATCAAACAAATATAAAAGACCATTTCACTCTATTCATTTTTTTTTTATTCAAATCTTTTCTCAATTCTGTAATTTTTTTATAATTAACCAATTATCAAAAATAAAAAAAATTTACAATTGAACAATCATTAAACAAAAAATTTATTTACTAATCACCAAATAAATAACATTTTTTTCCTTTTCATTTAGTCCAAAATCTAAAAAATAAAATATACAAAAAAAAAAAATTTCCTAATCGATTAAATTAAAATATAAAAAAAAGATATGACCCACCATCTATATAACGAATATTATATAAACATCCCTAATGAAAGTACAATCGATTTCACCACTAATTCAAAAACTTTATAACAATCGTATGACCAGCCCAATGTAGACTCATCAAATCTTCCTTCTAATCAAACTTCCAATAATTATAACTTATGGAGACCAAACGAAACGTTCAAACACATTTATGATAAATTCTAATCCAGTATATTAAATGAATACCCTAACTTCCTATACATCTACTGTGAAAGATTACTATATAAAAACAAAGCCAAATAAATACTACACAATCCTTCCGAAACCTATCCCATTGAATTAATAAACTAAGTCAATACACTAGAACAATACGGTACATTAAGAAAACAAATCATTAAAATATCTTCATGTAATTCCTGTGTAAAACCATAAAACAAGCTTCAATTTCCAGTATTGGCCAAAATTCCAGATGAAATCTAAGCTGCTCCGTTACATTATAAGAAATTTCTATCTCCCGTATACCTACACTGTTCCTTAGGAAGAAACTTAGATTCCAATTCAACCTATTCTGAATATCATAATATCTTAGCACGATGGGATATTCAATCAATTTCAGAGTACTAGCACTCTATTCCGATACAATAGGAGCCTATTTACAACTATTAAACTCAAATCACATTTCTAATGAGCAGATCCTAGATAACACACTTCTACATGCGACCCTCTGACTAAGTTCGCATAACTCCTACCTACGTAACTATGTAAATATTTTAAATCAAAGATCAACTACAACCATATTAGACCCCTTTCCAATTGCAATTCACATTCCCAATGATTATACAGCATCCTCAGTAAATCAAAACAATATAATTATACCAATAGCAAACTTACCTAATGAGGTTCACAACGAAAACTTTCACTATTCCTGATTAATGGTAGGATTCATCCACGACAATGATAATAATTCACTTCCTATCTTAAACTACGATCTGAATCTCGAACCCCTCCTATTTCCTCACCTATTTCCCGATGATAAAGGACACTTCTATGACATGAAAAATAACTCACTTTCAAACGAAAACAAATCAGAAACCCTAGAAAAATATGCAAAATATATGTTACTTCTAAACGATCCAAGATTTAGGTTCAATCATTATTGGCTATCTCATACTTACCTACAACTTGAAAAACTTTGCCACCATCAAAATACCCAACGAATACTATGTCAAAAAAATATAGAAAAATCACGCCTACTTCCATCATCAATTCAACTAATTCAACAAAGCAACTACTCAAATATAAACCGCATAAACGAAAACTTAACCATAGCAATACTAACCTTCATTAGGACAGGAGATTCATATTTTTCACGAAAAAGAGCTACACCTTAATTTAATGCTAAAAAAACTTAGACTCCCTACAGTTTTCATTATCCTATCAATAGCAGAAAACAGATGGACTGAACTTTGAGATATACTACAACAAACCGATAATAAGATACCAATCCAACTAACTGACCCCTATATACCACTCTCCATTTCATCCACAAATTCAGATCACTAAAGGAAGAAGTATGAAAAAACGAAAAAGTTAGCAGATGGTGAAAAATAACCGATTTCTTTGACTGAATCAAATTCCAAAATAGAGGTGCAGCCCACACTCACAGATGCAATTGGATCACAAAACTAATTGAAACTATGATCCAAAATAATGTTATATGCTCTGACCTTTCAGATCCGGAACAAGAATCAGAACTATATGAAAAAGTCTTAGCATACCAAATACACCGATGTAATACTCTCAAATGTGGCGGACCTGCTCCACCTAAAGAACAATGCAAGAAAGGATTCCTATGACAATTTTCAGACACCACACACCTTGAACAAAACTCCTATAGATATATATATAAATGCACAAAACCCGCAGACCAGTGGATAGTACCCTACCACCCAAAAACTTTATTAATTTGGAATGCTCACATGAACATTCAATACATCACATCAAAAGGATTCGCCAGATATATTACTAAATACATAGCAAAAGCAGAACCTTCCCACGTCTTTAACATCACAGATAATGACAAATTTAGAGAACACATTGTCACAAGAAAACTAGGAGCAATGGAAGCAATGTTTCTAATACTAGGTGAAACTATATGTAATTCCTCGATTCAAGTAAAATACCTAAATACTGAATCTCTAAACATTAGACAAAAAGCAGCATTACCAATTCACCTACTAACAAATGAAAATGAAGATGATCCATACTACAAAGACACTATTGAAAAATACATGAAAAGACCCACAGATATTATATTTGACCAAATTACCTATTCCCAATACTACGAAAGATACATAATCCAAAAAAAAGACTGACTAATATAACAAGAAACATATACGAAGACCAACTTGGAAACTATATTATTAAAGAATAAAACCAACAATAACCCGCAACCGATTTACAAAAATAACTGACGGAGAACTATATTTTTACCAACTACTGTTAAATACCATCCCGACAAAAAGTGAAGAAGAATTAAAAGAAACTACTCAACTTACCGAGATCGTTACATATCAATATTTCTAAACATGACCGAAGAAATCCAAAACAGAACACAAACTTATATTGAACAAACAAGACAAATAATGAATCTAAGATATTCAGAAATCCTAGACCAATTAATATCAAACCTAAAAAATACCATATCAACAAGTATAACAGAAATCTTAAAAATCCAACTTAAATCTCTAAAAATACTACCACCAATCCTACTCAAAAACATTATCCATTAACTATTGACAGACCAATACAACGTTACATCTACCCTAACATCCTATTTAGGAAAAAGAGAAGAATGAAAATGGCCTTACTTCTTCGTCACAGGCTCTGCCAGAACAGGAAAATCATACATTATTCATCTCCTCATAAATTCAATAAAAAACAATTACCTCCTAATGGCACCCACAGGCAGTGATGTACATTTCCTATGTCCTAAGCATTTGCTGTCCCAGCTATATATCCCAACTATATGTTCCAACTATGTCTCATATATGTCCCAAATGTCCCATCTGTCCCATCAATGTCCCATCAGTGTCCAATCAGTGTCCTAACTATGTCCCCATGACAACACTGCCCACAGGTATAGCCAGTGATGTGCACTTGGAAGATAGAAAGCACCTTTGGAAGTACCTTTGGAAGGATTGGAAGCATAATTTACTAATAGAATTGCTTGGATTGGAAGTTTCCAATCAAATTTTATGTAATTGGAAGCACAAAATGCACATCACTGGATATAGCTGCCCAAAATATTGGAGAAAGTACCATACATTTCGAACTAAAAATAATCTCAACACAAATAGTCACTGGTCAAAATGGGTACAAATCGGCTAAAAATTGGACGGACGATTGATAGCTGATTTAGGGCTGATTTATATTAATTCCGATTGACACAATATGAGTTAATCGGAAATATTAATCAGTCATCAATCGCCATCAATCATCCATCTAAAATCTGCCTAAAACAAGCCATCAATTATCCATCAATTCTCTGTCCGATTTTTAGATGAAAATTTATTACATTTATTTCATTTTACAATTTCGGAAAATAATATTTTTTTATTAATTTTATTAATTTTATTCATTATGCAATAAGCAAATAGAAAATACTACTAAAAATAAGCAAATTACTAAAAAAAGAAAAGAAATCATCATGAGGCAATACAAAAACTCTCTCCTGTTTATCCCAAAAATGATTAGAAAAAACAGCGAGCAAAAACAAAAACAATGAGGACGTTCGTCTTCACCTTTAACAACGCAAAAAGCCAAAAAACAAAATACAACGCAAACTGTGGATATTTCACCAACCCAACAAACTACCGAGACTCCAGAATCAGTAGAGTCCATGGAAGTCGACCCTTTGCCTTCGGAAAAAGGCAAATGGAAAGAAATTTTAGATGAGACTCCAGAAACAACCACCACCACTCTTGACGTCGACGCCTGTTTTGACGCGTCAGAAAACTTTTTGGATAAAAATACGTCTTCAGTACAAGCTTTTGAACGTCAAAAGCCTTCTTTCCACGGTTATTTTCCTCTTGAAGAATTTCCAGGGACGTTGCCGCAGCAAAAAGTCTCTTCTGTTGTCGATTTGCTTTTTGACAAATATGATTCGTTCTCAGGAGCGACATTAGCCAAATACTCAAATGACCAATCGCAGCGTATCATCAAAATTTTCTTTCGTAACCAGGAAGAACGTGAATATGTTTGTTCAGTCCAGTTACCCATTTTGGAAAATCGCACCTTCTTACCCCTTAATGTAGTACACACACAACCTTATGTTCCTGTAAGATCGATCAAAGTAACCGAAATCCCCCTGGATTCTATGGAACACAGGATCAAGACGATATTTGCCCGATATAGAATGATCGTCCATTTTACAATGGAAACAAAGAACATGTGGCAACAGGTCACTATTACCTTCACGGAAGACGTAAACTTTAAGGGTTTAAAGGATTGTTACGGTCGCTTCGTACTCAATGACATGGTCAGAGTTCACATGTGTGACCAACCTCGTGCTGATATTCTAGCTCGTTCTAAATTTTCAGCAAAACTTGCT